AATGCTTTTAACCAGCTAACAGAACTAGCCTCATCTGCTATCACTTTATGCTGTGTTGCAACTGCTTTTAACCTACTAGCTAACAGTATTAGCTTAATCTGCTATCACTTTTAACTGTTTTGCAACTGCTTTTAACCTACTAGCTAACAGTATTATCTTAATCTGCTATCACTTTTAACTGTGTTGCAACTGCTTTTAACTTACTAGCTAACAGTATTAGCTTAATCTGCTATCACTTTTAACTGTGTTGCTAATGCTTTTAACCAGCTAACAGAACTAGCCTCATCTGCTATCACTTTATGCTGTGTTGCAACTGCTTTTAACCTACTAGCTAACAGTATTAGCTTAATCTGCTATCACTTTTAACTGTTTTGCAACTGCTTTTAACCTACTAGCTAACAGTATTAGCTTAATCTGCTATCACTTTATACTGTGTTGCTAATGCTTTTAACCAGCTAACAGAACTAGCTTCATCTGCTACGGGTATTAGCCATGTTGCTAATGCTTTTAACAAGCTAACAGAACTAGCTTAATCTGCTACTGGTTTTAGCTGTGTTATTAATGCTTTTAACCAGCTAACAGAACTAGCTTAATCTGCTACTGGTTTTAGCTGTGTTATTAATGCTTTTAACCAGCTAACAGAACTAGCTTAATCTGCTACTGGTTTTAGCTGTGTTATTAATGCTTTTAACCAGCTAACAGAACTAGCTTAATCTGCTACCAGCTAACAGTAATTTCCCCTGAATGCTTTGAAATAAAACTTGGTGTATTTATATAACAACCAAGTTAATTTTCCCAACATCAACATTAATGTATTTATTCTTCCAGCCTGGAAGTGATTAAACGTTTGATGTCCTTTATCTGAATTTTCCAGATGAAGAGGAGGACCCTGCTGCCTCTTTTTTTTTACACCTCAGTGAGACTTCTGGGAGTAAAGTGAAGAATTAAGTTCTGCTGAGGCAGCAGAATCCTGGGAGGGAAACACCCAAACAAACGCGGCTGGAGGCTGAAATCCTGCTGGATCCTGTGAGCTAATGAGACCAAACACGTGTGAAAGGCAGCTGCAGGCTGCTTTATATATATATATATATATATAGGAATCTCACTGGTTCCAGGACCAACTTCTATGTTAAAATATGTTAGTTGGTTCAAATATTCCCATCAGAATACACTGTAATTCCTTTAATTTGTTCCAAAAATATTCAATAACTCCTTAATAAACACTGCAGATAATTACACATAGCCATAAAACGAATGCATTATATAAGAGAGACGTAAAAAGAAATAAATGATAAAGAAATAATCAATAAAAAGGGTTTTTATTGGCAGGTAGAGACTGAGATTCCGGACGTACCCTAACGTACTCTGACTTTCACTACCTGAACGTTAAACTATCTTACCTTATTTATTTTTATTTGATTGTTTTTTTATTTTTTATTATATATATATATATAGTTTATTAATATATATATAGAAATAAACCAGTAGCAATATAAGCTAATTCTGTTTGCTGTGTTAGTTGTTACCATTAGCAGAACAGCTAAAACCCTTAGAATGAAAAGAGAATATTCAAATATATACATAATAAAAATATAATGAATAATAAAATATATACAGAAATAAATATAATATATCTTTATATACATAAACGTATTCTGTAAGAATTTCTTTTGGAGTTTTACGTGACTTCCAGTACAGCTCAAAGCAGCATTATAAGCCTCTTTAAACCGCTTTAAATGATGCATTCACTGCCCTGAATAGAGGAAATCATTTGATAATTTCTCATTTTAGTGCGTCACAATGAAATCCATCCCAGTGGAAATAAACTCAGGACGAGTGTGCACAGGCTGCAGACAGGAAGCAGCTATAAAAGCATGTTCCACAGCTTACACGCCCAATTTAGCGCCCAAAATATGAAAATGAACAGGAGCAAAGCAGCTAAATAACCATGGAAAAGAAACCAAAATATGTGAGCATATTAAATATTAGATTCAAAAGGAAACCCATTTTTATTCCGTGTGTTTGACAACATTCCCTCATGAATTGACTCAAATCCAACTTATTAGCATTAATGATCATTAGCATTAACACTTATTAGCATGGTGATAATTACTACCACTAATAATGCACCATAACTCGATCCATTTTTGTTTTAATTCTAACTAAAAATCGGACCTCTGGACAGTTGTTTTGAGGCTAAAACTTTAAGTTCCCACAGTCACTGAATTACTTCCTGTATAAATTTCACACGAGTCAGAGGATTTTATGTGTTTTTATTATTATTGTTGTTTATTCTGATCTGTGACAGCAGCATTAAATGATGTCTGGCGGATTTATTTGCTTCCTTTCGGGAATTCAGAACCAACTTTCCATCAACAGACCGCAAACAAGGAAACAATTGAATATCTTAAAGTAGATTCTCAGGTATTTTAATCGGATCCAGGTGAGTCTGAGCCATAAATAGATCCTTTTTTAAGGAACTCTGCCTGCTATGAACAGAGCTGCCTGGAAATGCTGCATTTATGTGCAACATTTACAGTTTTTTTAAACTAAAATGTGCAATATTTAAAGTTTTTACACTACAAAACTGCAATATTTAATGTTTTTTACACTAAAATGTGCAATATTTGCAGTGTTTTTTCCTACAATGTGCAATATTTACAGTTTGTTTACCCTAAAATGTACATTATTTACAGTTTTTTACCCTAAAATGTGCAATATTTAAAGTTTTTACACTACAAAACTGCAATATTTCATGTCTTTTACACTAAAATGTGCAATATTTGCAGTGTTTTTTCCTACAATGTGCTATATTTATAGTTTGTTTACCCTAAAATGTACATTATTTACAGTTTTCTTACCCTAAAATGTCCAATATTTACAGTTTTTTACCCTAAAATGTGCATTATTTACAGCTTTTTACCCTAAAATGTCCTATTTGTTCAGTTTTTTAACCATAAAATGTGCATTATTTACAGCTTTTTACCCTAAAATGTCCTATTTGCACAGTTTTTCAGCCTATAATGTGCATTATTTACAGCTTTTTACCCTAAAATGTCCTATTTGTACAGTTTTTCAGCCTATAATGTGCGATATTTAGGGTGTCCCTGGTGGTTCTTACGCTCAGGTGTGAGTTCTGGACGTCCAGCGCGGAGCACATGTCGGTGAAGGAGGAAAGGCTCTTCTCGTCCAGGAGGACGTAAACGGGCACGCGGCGTTTATTGGACGCCTCCATGAGGTCGCACAAAAGGTCCACGTCCGTGAAGACGTCCATCACCAGCGCGATCACCTAATAAACGCACAGAGGAAAGCTGTAAAGTCCCTCACTTCCTGTTAGCATGTAGCATCAGAGGAGGCTAGCTGTGGAATCTGAGTTCTAGCTCAGTGTTTTTCAACCTGTTTTGAGCCAAGGTACATTTTTTCGTTGGAAAAATCTCGAGGCACACCACCAACCAAAAATGTTAAACAAATCTGTAGCCGCCTATAGTAACACTATAGTTATTCTTATTTTATTCTTATCTTATCTTAAGTGTCTTGAATAGGAATCAAGTAAACACAAAAATGTATTTTCATCATATTTTATATTTCTTCTTTCAAATTGCAATTAACATGTCCACTTCAATGTACAAAATTATATACAAAATGTAGTCATAAGGAATTATTACATGATTACGCCACCAGTCACTAGTACAGCACAGACACTCAAAAATGGCATACTATTTGCAGATAATTAATTCCTTATCAAAAAATCTTTTTAGACCAATTAGGTGAAATAGGATGATTTTCTACGGCACACCTGACCATCACTCGCGGCACACTAGTGTACCGAGGCACAGTGGTTGAAAAACACTGCTCTAGCTGGATGTTAAAGCCTTCATGCTAAAGCCTCTGCTAGCATGTAGCATCAAGGGATGCTAGCTGTGGAATCTGAGTTCTAGCTGGATGTTAAAACTTTAATGTTAAAGCCTCTTGTTATTTTTGGGTCTTTTCTGTTATTTAATTTGTCCTTTTTTGTTATTGTTGGCTCTTTTCTGTTATTTAATATCTAATTTTTGTTATTTTTGGTTTTTCTGTGGAATCTGTGTTCTAGCTGGATGTTAAAGCCTTCCTGCTAAAGCTTCTGCTAGCATGTAGCATCAAAGGATGCTAGCTGTGGAATCTGTGTTCTAGCTGGATGTTAAAACTTTAATGTTAAAGCTTCTGCTAGCATGTAGCATCAGACATTAAATACTGTTTGTGAGTCCCTTTGGATAAAAGCATGTCCTTTTTTGTTATTTTTGGGTCTTTTCTTTTATTTAATGTCTCCTT